TCTCAAATCAAACTGATTCTTGATTACACACGTGTTTCTTTAAATCAATGCGGGCCACGAAGGTCGACGAGAATGCACACGGTTCCGTGGAGTCGTAACCACACTCGGGCGCAAAATAAGCTGAAGCAACACTGAGCCAATTTTATGCGGAGTTTACAATGGACATGTTTTATGACTCCGATAAGAATACTTGCGATTACTTCGAGACAAAACAATTTGTTAATTTAAATATATAAAAAAAAATCGCGTCGTTATAACGTTCGTTCGCGACGTGACCGATTTACGATCATAATGTCAAGCGCCGCTCATTATATCCCGCGTCTCACTTCTATTATCTAACTAAAGCCAAATATACATGTCAACAAATTACATTATGTTTGCGCCAACTGGCAAAACACACAAAAAGTACAAATGGCCGGCCACCCCTCGGCAGCGGGGCGATTATGACACAAGTGGCAATTCGGAGATGTTTGACATTCTGCTATTTTGATTCACACGTTCATATACTTTGATAAAGCTAAATTATGTTTTATAACAACTTACATACGGTTTATTTTTATTCATATCGATATCAAAATGTAAAGTCTTCTAAACGTGAACAATAATAAACTCTCTACAGTTGTATTAGGGTTCAATTTGTAAGAATTGGACACATAGATTTGTATCTAGTAGCCTTGTTAATGTGCGTTGAAGACCCACCAGATGTCAATACGAAGCCGGTCCATTGTTAACAAATATGGGTACAATTGTGCACAATGCTTTACATTATTGTATTTAGCGATGGTGAGGAGGCTGAACGAGCCAAATGTTCCCATTTGATAATTGGGGTGTCCATCGATGAAAAGGACCAATATGGTGTTTAAAATATAATTCTAGCATACATATAATAGTTCATCATATTTGCCTACCTTTTATATATAGCTAACTGTCACCCGCAACTACGTCCGTGGCCAATTAAAAAATAATTAATTAGTGTCCTATGTGTTTTTCCAGACTATGTTATATATCTATGGTAAATTTCAGCGAGATCCCTGCAGCCGTTTGTAGATATATTGTAACAAATATCCATCTATCAAAACATTCGCATTTATAATATTAGTAGGTGGTAAGATAAGTGCAGTGGCTCAATAAACAAATCGTCAAACACTCCAAAGAATGACTTTGCAATTCGATTTGAAGTGTTGATTAGTATTAATTAAATAACATCTTTACTTATTAATAAGCTTATGTATTTACTTATTACTTTAATAAATGATAAATACAAATATTTAAAAAAAAACAACCAATGGGAAATCCCTACCATGAATAAATAAACGTATTTTTAAAATTAACAACATGGTTAGCAAACGTGTGCAAATTCAACATACTCAGCAAATATAATAGTCTATTTGAAGTAAGATAGCTCTAATTATGCTAATATCTTAGTATCAGACAGTTTTATAAATATTTTATGTATATAAAGAGCAATTTAATACTAGCGATCTGTCCCAACTTCGCGTATATACAAAGCAGTACATAGAACCGATACGACAATTTTTTTGTTTATGCTCATTTTATTAATATCTTTAAATATATTTATTTTTTATATAATGTCGGCGTTTACATCACATAAGAATAAAGTTTCAATTCTTTCCTCCTATTAACATTGGAAAAAAGTTACACAAAAAATGTAACTAATATATTAACGATACATCTTGGTATGTAGCTTAAGTCGTATTCCATGTACTACATTTATAATGTCAAATTATTCATAGTAAAAACCACAATTTGTTGAGATGCGAGCCGTTACCTCGTACGGAACAAGCAACAGACAATCCGAACATCATTCCCACGGGCACGCACCTGCGCGGACACATCCTACAATACAACACCGATACACTATAGGGTGGCCATTCTTTACACAATATCAAGACTTGTCTTTAAAAAATAAGTCGCGATAATCCTCGTAGTATACACATAAATATAGTTAAGTAAACATTAATACGGAAAAAAATTAAAACAACCTCATTACTATTAATAAAGATCGATTAAACTAATTACATAAATAGCGAAATTAGATAGAAACCCGTGAGATGGCAGACTTCCCAGGGAAGCCAATCCTCGATCACGTAAATTAAACTTTCTCCTTAAATATGCAACTCCATCACATATGTTTCCCATCCCAAAACAAGTGTATAAAACATATTATCAAAATCATAAAGAGAACAAACGTAAATTTGATAAATCGAAGATGTCAATATTGGTCATGGTAACCTTAGGGAATATCCTATAATTCCGTAATTTACGTTGGTCATCATAGTTTAAGCCCGCATTCCTCGTCGCCTACACAGCGTCAGATGAGCCCGGCGCGGTGGGGCATTCAGCATCGGATCTCACGCCGCACAATCACTTGCTTTGGAACGCCGACGTAATTTGGGCAACGTTTTCATTAAGCTAAGACTAAACTTCTCACGACCTTTTTGCCAAAGTGAATATGAATTATGCTGAAAAGAGATGAACTCCATTCATTCATTATTGTGTTCGAACCCGAGACGCGGGCGACTCATCAAGTAGCGCGGAACGGCGTGGGGGACGAAGACAACGTATGATAGCTTCGCGATTGGCCATCGAGTATATCCGTTTTACGGTTAATAAATTGTACCAAGCAATTGCTTCTTCGAGCCGGATCGGTGGGTCTAGTAAGAATGTTTGTGACAGGCTATATCCGACAAAATATGTATAAAACTTTGTGCAGCGTCCCTATCAGGCGTAAAGTACACCAAGAATACCATACTAATTTTGACACTTGATGATAAAGATACGAAAGCGCTTGTCGGAAATATGCATGCAAGGCCCTGATTAATTAGGAACGATTATCCATTTACATTTTATGATTTGAGACTAAACTTCCTGTGAAATTTATTATAATTTTTCAATAAAATAGAATATTGTACATATATAAAAATAATACATAGTTATGTATTATTATTTATATTATTCAATTACTTAATCTAAAAAATAGCAAGAAATATTCTAACTCAAATCTGTAGTAAGATAGGACAATTATTACCCAATTTAAATTGAACTATTATTACAAAATTTGTTGAAATAGTCAACCGGCTGACGTCTTACCGTAAATAAGAATTCTCTACTTAATGTACTTGATGAAAATGAACAAAAAAAGTAGAAATTCTATATGTGTTAAGCGCCTGAAAAATTTACGATTTGTACAAAATCATCTTTGCTAGTATTTTTAAGTAGGCACAGAAAAAACATAATAAAAAATCAGAAATTAATAAACCTAAACATTCTGTATAAGGTTTAATTCGTTTCATAATCACACAGAATCCTTTATAATTAGTTTCTAGTTCAATAACTAATCAATCAATACTCAAAATAGTTATTTAATATTGTTAAACTGTAATAATAGGTTTTACAAGTATTTCAAAAAGAATAGCAGGATAGTACCGGAAATCCAATCGTCGTCAGTTACCCAGTCAATTTATCCAAACGAGCGTATTCCTGTGTTACGTTGTTATTCCAAATTAAATCAATTTATTACTTGAGGGAACCCTATTATTTCATATCTTGTAACTTCCTTTTCAAATGGACAATCATTATTGTCAATAAACAAATCGTAAACAACCAATCTTTATCTTGACATAGATGTAATTACAAACATAATGACAAGGTCACAAACAGACCTGTGAAATAATTTACACATTAAAACAGTAACAAATCTCCTCTTAAGTTTATTTTTAAACAGCCAGTGTCACTACAGTATTTTTTTCTATTAGCTTAACGTTTTTTATAGTTCTGTAATCATCCTGTTGCAAATTTAACATACATTCCAAGCGTACATTTCCAGTCGTATAATGGCACATACTGTATAAAATCCGCGGGCAGTTCGGGATGCACCTGAGTATTTCACGGAGCGACTCGCTGGCGCCGCGCGTCCTAGTCTGTGACCTCAAGCCGCCCACAGACCTTAACATCTCATAGACAAGACATAGATATAAATATGCATGAAATGTTAAAATGTTATCTTTATACAGATTTCTACACTATATATATATAATTATATATTTCTAATTATACTCGTTAACGATAAGCTTAATTAACTTTTTATTGTTACACAATCTTAATCTTTGGTGGTCCGACCAGCTTTTCTCCAATTGCTTTAAATGGTGTAAACCTACCAACCTGCTCCGATTTTAAGTACCTCGGTTCACTCATCCAATACGACGGCGGTGTTGACCGGGATGTGAAAAGCCGAATAAATGCAGGTTGGATGAAATGGCGACAGGTCACCGGTGTAACTTGTGATCCAAGAATGCCAATGAAACTTAAGGGACAGATCTACAAGTCCATCGTAAGACCTGTCGTATTGTACGGATCTGAATGTTGGGCCACCAAGGTTTCGGATAAAGAAGATTGCATGTAGCTGAAATGCGTATGCTAAGATGGATGTGTGGTGTGACAAGGAAGGATAAAGTTAAAAATGTGTATATTAGAGGAAGTTTGAAAGTAGCGCCAGTGATCGAGAAATTGAGGAGTAAAAGATTAGCGTGGTTTGGACATGTTATGAGAAGGGATGATGATGATATAAGCAAAAAAGTAATGAGATTGAATGTGGATGGCTACAAGGGTAGAGGAAGACCAAAAAAAGTATGGAATGACTGTGTGAAAGAGGATATGCGTAAGAAGGGGGTAGACTCGGATATGACGGCTGATAGAGATGTATGGAGGAGTAGTACATGCTGTGCCGACCCTCGATAGGGATAAGGGCAGGTTGATGATGAATCTTAATCAGTGGCTTAAGGAGTCGAACGATTAGTCTTTTTTGACACCAAGTCAAGTGTCAGATTGATTAGTGAGGGGACATAAACGTTGACATTTTAATAAGTCTAGTGTTGCGCCGATACACCGGTTTTTCCTAACAGTATAATATGAATACGCATATATATATTATGAGTGTATGTGTACACATTAACTAGAATGTATTTGCATTGTTATTTCAGATTGGAAATCTGTACCGTTAGTCACGCGCATTTAATAAAACATTGTTGTTTGAAACTTTGAAAAAATTATCGTTATTTGATAATTGATTAAAAAATGGCAACAGTTGTAATACAACAAGGCAAACTTCAAGGCAAGAAATCGTGGAATGACAATGGATTTGAGTACAATGAGTTTTTGGGAATACCTTACGCGAAACCACCGCTGGGACCACTAAGGTTTAAGGTATTTAAAATATTGCATTATTTTAATTTAACATCCACATATATGTGCCTCTCATATTATGATGTGTGTTTGTTAATTTCTAATTAATCGAGAAATTAAAAATATATAAAATATCAGTATTAAATCATATTTTGGGATCATGTTAACATGATTGTTTATTTTGTCATGTTTATATGGTCAAAATAGACATATAAATCAATTTAAGCGGGTTCAGTTTTTTTATCGTTTCATTGCTTGTTAACAATAAAATGCTTTCATTCAATCGCCAGTACTATGAAATTTGATGATGATTTGATGACAATGAGTAATTGAATCGATAAATATTATAGCGCCATCGAATAAATAACAAAAGAACGATATTATGCTTACAATATATATCACAATAGCTTTTTTTAAATTATCTTTTGTATTGATTTCCAGAGTCCCCAACCACCCGAAAAATGGGAAGGAGTAAGAGATGCTACAGTAGTCAACAAAAATAATGTAGCACTGCAACTTGATATGTTCACCAATCAGGTTATCGGAAGCGAAGACTGTCTTTATCTTAACGTATATACTCCCAAGATGCCTGATGAAGAATCCAAATTACTCCCCGTAATGGTATTCATACACGGAGGAGGTTTTGTAGTTGGAAATGGAATATTAGAAGATGAACATGGACCTGATTTTCTTATAGAACACAATGTAGTTATAGTTACTATCAACTACAGACTTTCTGTTTTAGGATTTTTGTGCTTAGATATAACTGAAGCAGCTGGTAATATGGGACTGAAAGATCAGGTCAAAGCACTTGAGTGGGTGCAAAATAATATAGTACATTTTAATGGAGATAAAAACAATGTTACTATATTTGGAATAAGTGCTGGTGCTGCATCTGTTGAATATCATTTAGTGTCACCCAGAGCCGAAGGTTTATTCCACAAAGCGATTCTGCATTCCGGTTCCTGTCTTAATCATTGGGCAGTTAATTATGAACCAAAGAAGCTAGCAAATCTATTGGCCATAAAGTTAGGTTACAAAAGCTCATCAGAAGACGTAAACTCTTTAAAAGAATTTCTTATAAATATCCCTGGAGCAGATCTAATGGTGTCTGCTTCTGAAGTATGCGGAAATTATACAACAGAAAAAGGCAGAATTTTCTTTGGTTTTGTACCAACTATAGAAAAAGATTTCTCAAATGGGGATTCATTTCTTACAGACCATCCGTATCGCTTACTAATGCAAGGTCTTTTTAACCACGTACCAATTATTAAAGGATTCTGTAATCGAGAGGGTTATTTAACTTATGTGCTTAAGCCTAAAGCAATTTTAGACGTCCAAGAGATTAAAAACTTCACTTCCTATTGGTCATTTGACTTAGATTCAGATGACAAAATTGAATATAGCGAACAGATGAAGAAAGCTTATTCGATGAACATAAAACCTGGAGACGATGAGGACAAAGTTGGAATAGATTTCTTCAGTGACTTTGATTTTGTATCTGGAATTTGGACCAGTGGCAAGTTAATAGCTAGAAAAGGGGTGCCTGTTCGATTTTATGAGTTTAATTATGAAGGAAAAATTAACTTTTTTAAATTAGTCTTTGGTATAAATAGAACTGGAACCGCCCACGGGGATGACCACACTTATGTTTTGTGCCATAAAGTCGCAAAGGAGGCACATGGTCATGATTTAGTCATACGAAACACTATGTGCCAAATGTGGACTAATTTCGCTAAATCAAGGTAACTTTTTTTTATTTTAAAACTAGCTGTTTCCGACTTCTTTCACATAAAATTAAAAAAAAACAGTTTTGTGTAGGCTATGTGGTATTCCAGACTGTAGTCTACCTGTCTTCCAAGTTTCATAGAGATCCATTAAGATATTTTGAAGTTACGTAGTAACAAACATCCATCCGTCCATCCATCCACATCTTCGCAATTATAATATGAATGATAAAAAAAAATCGTTTTAGTTGTCCTACACCGTCAGAGAGTATGAGTGAGCTAATCGAATGGCCTGTTTACACAGAAGATCATCCTGTATATCTGACAATTGATAAAAACATCAAATTACTAAGAAACTATGAACCGAATACAATGTCTATATACGAAGAAATTTATGAAAAATACGAAAAATAAATTTATTTCTATACATTCGATTAAGGTGCAGATTTAGAAAAATATATGCTTAATAAATTTATGTCAAATGTTTTAGAACTCAAAAATTGATATTACCTTTCCTCCCAACGCACATCTAATCTGTCGGACGAGCAATACAACATCTCTTTCAGCCAATAAAATTAAATGACATGGAAAACTTACAGCTATATTAATTTAATTAACTCTAAACTGATTGAAAACCAATAACAAGTATTCACTTAAAGCAATGTAACATTAGAGATAAGCAAATAAACAAGTACTGCAACTATTAAACAATATAAATTAGGTAGTATTGTCGTAATCAGCTCACTGTAGTCCCCACTGAGAGGCTTGGAGCCTACACTAAGTTAGGGGTGACTAGGCCATAGTCAACACCGCTGGCCCAGTCCGGGTCGATTAACTTCACATCTTTGAATCTCCTCAGATACTTGCAAGTTGCACCACGATGTTTTCCTTCACCGTAAGAGACATAGCAGTATTAAATGTATAAACATTAAAATTAACAGTTCTTGTTTACATTTTAATAAACAAGTCACGAGCTAAGAAACTTCGTGCCAAGGATACACTAGTTGTGAATGGATCTAGATCTTGTTGCTTACAGATTTCTGTTGAAGTTTGCGATTGCAATCACAATTTTTACTGTGAACTGTTTTTTTAATAACGCTCGGCAGTCGTTTTAGAGCGAGACAAACATATCGGAATACATGAGAGCGCTATACCGATAGTGACGTCATCGCCGGACAGTTCAAATCATTCCGGCTTATGTCTAAATGAACATGTTTAGTTAGTAATAACAGTCGTTTAAAAATAGCATAGTCATTGTGATTGAAAATACTATGATAATAGGTGTTTTTACAGATTGGGTAGTTGAGACTCACGGTTATATGCACGATTGGCGAATTGATATAATAAGTTGGTTATTATAATAATATAAAAATCAAATAACATGTATGTTTGCCAATTAATCAGATTATGGTGAAACTTTGAAAGGGTGCTCTGAGGACAATGTAGGTTTTGGCTCAAAAAATCTATTCCTACAATAGTATTCTTTTTTTGTTTTTACTTTTAATCTCTTTCATATATGTTCCAATATTAATATCTTAATAATATTATAAATGGGAAAGTTTAGATGGATTGATGTTTGAAGGTATGTCAAGGCTCAATAGATCTTGACGAAATCTTTCACAGATGTAGAACATAGTCTGGTAGAACAAGTAGGCTACTTATATTACGTAGGACAGAGTCGCAGGCTACAACTATTATAGTATTTTGACGTTTTAAGACTTATTAACTGAAATAGTAATGCAAAGCGGGCTAATGTCGTATCTTATAAAGAAGTGATACTAATATCAATTTTATCTACAATAAAAATTGGAAATCATGATTCATTTATCAAAATATACAAAATGACACTCGATAAAGAGCGCGATGTCAGTCTGTTAGCGAAACTCATTGAAGATGGCCACATTGTCTATAGATCAAGGTAAATTGAGAGGTGGCAAATCTAAAACTGATAATGGATTTGAGTATTATGAATTTTTGGGAATACCATATGCCAAGCCACCTGTTGGAAACTTAAGATTTAAGGTACGATTTAGTTTTGTTTTTTTTCAATGCTATCTGATTATAACTAAATAATCTGGATAAAAGGACATTACGGCACTTTTTGGACACTGACAGGACATGCTTACAAGATCGATCTAACCACGTTGACATCCCTAACGAAATGACGACCAGTGGTCAAAGGGTTAAAACTAAACAGATTCACATTGTATTTTTGGAGTAGTACAGGATATTTTTATGTTTATTAAATTAATTCGCTTTCTAACCTTTAACTATTTCACAAACCTTTCAGAGTCCTCAACCTGCAGAGAAATGGGACGGTGAAAAAGATGCTACGGTCGCCAGCAAAGAAAACATAGCTATACAAATGGATATTATTGAGAGTCATGGAATTGTAGGAAGTGAAGACTGTCTCTACCTCAACGTTTATACACCAAAGATAACTGAAAATGAATCGGAATTGCTACCAGTAATGTTCTTCATACATGGAGGTGGTTTTGTATATGGAAATGGTATCCTGAAGAAAGACCATGCTCCAGATTTTCTCATCGAACACAATACAGTTATAGTTATAATTAACTACAGAGTATCAATTTTAGGATTTTTATCTTTGGAGATACCAGAAGTAGCAGGAAACATGGGCTTAAAAGATCAAGTCAAAGCTCTTGAATGGGTGCAAAACAATATAGCACATTTTGGTGGTGACAAAAATAATGTTACAATATTCGGCACGAGCGCCGGCGCTGCGTCCGTAGACTACCTTCTTGTTTCTCCAAAAGCGAAAGGACTTTTCCATAAAGCCATTCTTCATTCAGGTTCTTGTCTAAATCATTGGGCAGTTAACTATGAACCGAAGAAGCTAGCATACAAAGTTGCCGAAAGTTTAGGTTACAATGGATCGTTAGAAGATGTAAATTCTTTAAAAGAATTTCTGTTAAAAACCCCTGGATCGGATCTAATGGCCACAGCGTTTAATATTTGCCAAAAATATACGGATAGACATCTTTTCTTTGGATTCGTTCCAACAATCGAAAAAGATTTCGGTAATGGGGATGCTTTCCTAACCGACCATCCGTATCGCTTGCTGAAACAAGGACTTTTCAACCACGTACCAGTTATTAAAGGATTCTGTAACAAAGAGGGTTACTTAATGAACGCGGTAAACCCTAAGGCAGTATTAGATGTCTTACAGAATAAAAACTTTGTGGAACATTGGCCATTTGAACTTGATGCAGATGATAAAGTCAAATACAGCAAGAAAACGAAGATGTTACTTGCTTACTCGAAGAACATACAACCTGGAGATGATCATGATAAAATAGCAGTAGACTTCTTTAGTGACTTAGACTTTGTAGCAGGCATTTGGATCAGTGGAAAATTGATGGCAGAAAAAGGAGTGCCCGTTCGCTTTTATGAGTTTTCTTATGATGGTAAAATAAACTATTTAAAATTGTTATTTGGTATCAAAAGGAATGGAGCGGGTCACGCTGACGACCATTCTTACATCATGTGCCAAGATTCAACAAAAAAGGCACACGGCCAAGACCTCATCATACGCAATACAATTTGTCATATGTGGACTAATTTTGCTAAAACGAGGTATGTACCTTTAAAATAATTTGCGAATTATAAAATAATATTCAACAACTTATTTGTCTAGAGCAGTAAATTTAAAATTGTAAATCAATTTACATTCATCTTACTAGAATCGGACATGAAATTTTAACTTTTTATGAATAATATAATACATAAAAAAGGGTCTTCACAGACAGAAGGACGGACAACTAAGTGATCCTAAAAGAGTCCCGTTTTTTTTCTTGTGAGGTACGGAACCCTAAAAAAAGAACTTCTATAACTACCCTCATTAAAAAGGATAAAAGTTCAAAAATTATTATTTACGTTATAATTCACTTTAAAAGTATAAATCTAAATTTCCCAAGACTTCTAAGACAAGAATCTAATTTTATTTTTATTATTTATGAAACCACGGTGTTTTCTTTTTCAGTTGCCCGACACCAACAGACAATTCGGATAATTTAGTAGATTGGCCTGTGTATACAGGAAATAATCCCGTATATTTAAATATTGATAAAAAAATCGAAGTATTAAATAACTACGAACCACAAAGAATGGCTATTTTTGAAGAAATTTACGACAAATATGGAAAATAAAATGGACGACAAACGAACGAAAATTTAAAACCTACTGAAAAATATGAAATTTTTAAAATAATATTACAAGAAAAATATTTCATAAACAAACTTTTATTAAATTAAAATTTCATAACATGTATATATCCCCATTCCATTTAGAAAAGAGTAAATTTAAGACTTTTTAATAATACTTCTTGTATAATTCTTCATACAATTTAGTTCGATTCGGATATGGATTTTCCTTCATCGTCAGTTTATCGTCAATTAATAAATACGCCATAACATCAGTAACAGGTTCCCACTTCGTAGTGATAATATCGTCGATTTTTGGTGTTGGGTCACTAAAAAAAAAACATTTAGAAAAAAATAAAAAAACTTAATCATATCAACTAATACATATAAGTACTTAATTATTTTTAATCAAATTAAGTGTAATTATTAAATTATTTTACTTTTTTTAATAACTAACGGATGCAGCACTCCTAAGGTACGCGTCCATTGGCTCGCGCCGGATGCACCGCACGCACGGACCGCAACGGATTTTTGTTTGCTTGATATGATCTTACATAGCGCTGCGTTCACCATCAGCGACGCCTATATCCAAAGACGAAGCAAATCCGTTTGCATGCGGTGCGTCCAGTGCTGGCCAATGGACGCGTACCTTTACACAGAACTTAAGATACTTTACGTTCAAAATAACAATGACCATATCGCTGATATTGATCTGTCAACAATCACTAGAAAAGTAGATCTAAACTTACCCAAATTTAGCAAAATTCGTCCACATCGTAGACATCCTCTCGCGTACCAATTTATCCGTTTCAGTGATTTCCGCATCTTTAAAAGTATCACATTTAATCAAATAACCACCATCATCACCATGGCAAGCTCCTTCTCTATCAATATTTCTTGTCTTTTTGAAGTAATTTAAATTACCATCATAAGAAAACTCATAGAAATACACAGGTGAATTCTTCTTTGCAATCAGTGAAGTAGCCACATACACTCCGCCAAGAAAATCTATATCAGTCAAGAAATCAATAGCATAATAATCATCATCCTTGTGTGTCTGTTCACCTTCTAAATATACTAATTTTAGCTTTTTATCAAGTTCATCTTTCTCTGTGATATCAAAGTTGAAAGGAAGTTCCGATACAAATGACTTTGTACTTGAAATATTTTCTATTTTTTGGGGATTAAAGGGAATCATTAAAAGACCTTCACGTGTACAAAACCCACTCATAAAGGGCACTTTAGCAAACTCGCCATTTGATAACATATCATAAGTGGATTTATTTATAAACTGTTCCCAGTCTCCGGACTTTTCTACAGTAGGGACAAAGCCAAAGGTAATGCCTCCACGATGAGTACCCATCGCAAGAGCTATCATAGAAGCTTGTATTAATTCTTTGATAGGCATTTCCTTTAATATTTTCAATAGATCATCATTGTTTCCTGGAAACTTCTTCTTAATGAGTGGTATTTTATAAGCCAATTTTTCTATTTCCTTATTTTGAGCCCAGGGCAAAAGAGATGAGCCAGATTGGGCAATGGCTTTGTGGAATAAACCTTTAGTTGTTGGAGACAGAAGTAGATATTCAACGGATGCTCCACCGGCACTCACACCAAAAATAGTCACATTTTTAGGATCACCACCAAACTGAGCTATATTTTGTTGTACCCATTTAAGTGCGAGTACTTGATCCTTTAAACCCATATTACCACTAGCATCTTTTTGGCCTAAGGATAAAAATCCCAGTATGCCTAATCTATAATTTAAACTAACTATAATAACTTCTTTATCAATGAGATAGTCTGGACCGTGCAAAGTATCATCAGTACCATTTCCGAATAAGAATCCCCCTCCATGTATAAACACCATCACGGGTAGTTGTGGCCCTTCATGAGGAAGACGTGGAGTATATACATTCAAGTACAGACAATCTTCATCACCAATAACTGTACCTGTTGCTCTATCATATTGAGCACATATGTTACAATTTTTTGTTGCATCTTTCACACCTTCCCAGGGCTCTGGTGGTTCAGGAATCTAAAACATATTATTTAATACACTACATACACATAATGCCCCATAACTCAAAAGGATAGACAGAGACCATACTTTTGTTTGGTGTACGCCTGACACACCCCTCTTAATTCTTCTACATTCATACATCATTGCATATAAGCCCGTCGGTTTCATATTATTGAAATTTTATAGAATAGTATATAGTACAATACAAATCATAGTGTTTGGTCTATTTTTTTTTTAAAGTATGTAATGTATTCCAAAATGCTAAACAAAGTGTCACTTATTTTGTGGTATTCCTGGATGAAAAGTACTTACATATATTAATAAAATATAGATAAAATTACCGATTGTGAATGCCATTGTCACCAACAATAATTGGCACCTTGGCTTCAAGAGACAATCCTTTCATTGCCACCAAAAACTTAGTGCTAATGTTTTGTTAAACATAACAAAACAAAAGTTTAAAAATGTTTTCTATAAATTCTACAATATCACTTTTTTTAGGATATGGTGCAGTCAATAAAAAAAGCAATATACTTACAGAAAACCTTAAATCACCTACTGGTGGTTTGGCATATGGGATTCCTTTGAATGTATAGAACTTTACTCCATTTAAACTTTGACAAATTTTACCCCGCAATTTACCATCAGCAATCGTCACTTCTGGCGCAGACATTTTAAAAACGAATTTTCTGGAAATTTGTGAATTATTTGATTTGCACTATCTCTAAATGACAATGATTAGCGATCACTGATTAACCGTTTCTAAAAGAGTTATTGTTTTCAACAATTGTTTACCTTTCCTTTGTTGATGTTGCGAATAAAAAATACGATAAATTCTAAATGTTAATTTAATTTATTATTACGAATTTTAATTTTCTTTTTTAACTTTCAATATTAAAATTTAATGCCTGGATAAAACTGGAAATCTGGAAAAGGAATGCCTGTTGCCTGCCTGTCACCTGCCACTGTGATGTCAAGTGTCAATCTGTCATTGGCCGTTTACGTTCCTTTCCAAATAAAATAGTTTACAAAAGAGTTTTACAAAGTAAAATAGGTAACGATTTGAAATTTAAACATTCGCCGCCATCTATTGATGAGATAACGAAAATAAAAATGTTAATTGGACACAAGATTTTTTTTTAGGTTTTTGAAATATCGATATTCCTAATAATTTCGACCATATTTAATATTAAGTTGTATGTACAATTAAACTATAATTTTTGATTTTAATTTATAAAAAGGAAGGTTTTTTTATACAATGATCAGCGAACTGTGATTTTTGACAAAATAAGTTCTCACAAAAGACTAGCACGTTGTTAAAAAATACTTGTCGGAATTATTATACAATTATACCCGTGATAATAAGTTAGATTTTATTTAATATGTGAGAACCAACTGATTTATAACACTGTCATATATAAATATTAAAGTTGTCACAGTTTTCCCTACAGTCTTAAATGGTACCCGAGAATACTTTTAAAAAAGCATAAAGTTTATTGCTGTTCAAATCTCTAAAAATTCTAGGATGGCCACGGTATCAATAGAGCAAGGCATACTGCAAGGTAGAAAATCACAAACTGACAACGGATTTGTGTACTACGAGTTTGTGGGTATTCCATATGGCAAACCGCCGCTGGGACAACTGAGGTTCAAGGTATGAAAAGTCATTTGTACATTTGTATCCCTTAGTTTAAAAGCTTAAATCATCTCTCTCATTATATAAAAAAAAAAGTTTGAAACCGATATCGGTTTGTAAGATATATTCAATTCTGGTGTTCTACAAAAATGAACGTTTATTCCTTATATTATTATTATAAATAACATGGTATATATGTTCTTGTTACTCATGTTCTTAATTTTTTAATCTAATACTCATCATCAACCTACCATTATCCCTATGGAGGGTCGGCACAGTATATACTACTCCTCCATACATCTCTATCAGCCGTCATATCTTTCAATCTAATGCTGGCCAATAAAATATATCCCTCATATTTTAAACAGTAAAATAGTACATTAATTGACTTTTTAAATTAATTACATAGTTCTTTTGCAGAGTCCTGAACCTCCAGAAAAATGGAATGGCGTTAGAGATGCAACTGTAACGAGCAAAGACAATGTGTCATTACAAACAGACATAATAAGTGGTCGAGTTGTGGGAAGCGAAGACTGCCTTTATTTAAACGTCTATACACCTAAGATACCAGCTGAGAAATCTGAAACATTACCTGTAATGATCTACATACATGGCGGTGGATTTATACGTGGTAATGGAATATTAGGAAACGAATGTGGTCCAGATTTTCTCATCGAGCATAATGTAGTTATAGTCACAATCAATTACAGGCTTTCCGTCTTTGGATTTTTAACTTTGGACATCCCAGAAGTAGCAGGCAACATGGGCCTGAAAGATCAGGTCAAAGCTTTGGAATGGGTCCAAAATAATATTACACATTTTGGTGGTGACAAAAATAACATTACATTATTTGGGCTAAGTGCAGGCTCTGCTTGTGTTGATTATCATATTGTTTCACCAAGATCCAAGGGCCTTTTTCATAAAGCTATACTTCAATCGGGCTCTTGTCTTAATCATTGGGCAATTAATAATGAGTCAATGAAAGTAGTAAATCTACTTGCCGGCAGTTTAGGATATAAAGGATCACTAGAAGATAAAATTGGTCTTAAGGAGTTCTTTTTAAATATCCCTGGATCGACGTTGATAGCATCGGCTACACAAATTGCCGAAAATTGGAAACTTGATGGTCTTTTCTTTGGATTTGTTCCGTGTATTGAAAAAGATTTCGGAAATGGGGAAGCTTTTTTAACAGAACAACCGTATGGATTATTGAAACGGGGTTATTTCAATCATGTACCTGTTATTAAAGGTTTTTGCAATAAAGAGGGTTATCTAATGCGTATAGCGAAACCAAACACAATATCGCATATTCTGGAAATGGAAACCTATACGGATCGTTGGTCATTTGATTTTGATGCAGGAGAACGAAGTAAATACGAGGCTCAATTGGCTAGGAGCTATTTTGAAAACATTAAACCAGGCGATGAGTTTGATACGCTTGCAATTGACTTCATAACGGATTCTGAAATGAAGTCTGGAATTTGGATCAGTGGAAAGCTGATGGCAGGTCACGATGTGCCTGTACATTTCTATGAGTTTTGCTATGATGGAAACATCAACTATTTCAAACGTCTTTGTTGTATAAAAAGTAAAGGTGCGGCTCACACTGATGATCACAGTTATGTTTTGTGTCACAAATTAATGAAAACAGCTGTTGGACAGGATTTAATAATACGAAACGTAATGACCAAAATGTGGACTAATTTTGCTAAATTCAGGCATGTAAATTTTGTATTTTGTAGAAGTAAAGACTCTTTCACAGTCAACTTGGTACGTTGTTATTAACATTAGTTCTAATATTATTTTGTATTTTCAGTTCTCCTACTCCGGAAGATAAATTGGATACGTTGATTAAATGGCCCGCGTTCACAGAAAACAATCCTGTTTCTTTACAAATTGATAAAGAAATTAAACTACTGAGTAATTACGAACCGAAAAGGATGAAGATTTTTGAAGAAATTTATGACAAACATTACTCATGTTAATCAAATAATCTTAATACGAAATTTACGAACTGGGTTTTTACGGACAAGTACTTAAAAATTAAGAAAAAAAGAAGGCATGAATTATCTTTGAACTTGGTGAAATTAATATAGAAATTAATTAATTAAATAAGAAAATATTTAAGAAGTCAGAAATTATAGAGCTATTATTATTTTCGTAGTTTTTAGCTGCATAATTAGAAGAGTCCAAACTGATTCAAATCCACGCAATGAGATAGCCGGATGCGCACCTGTGCGCGACGCGATGCCGTGAGAACCGACATCTCTGACAGTCTCTCTGCGTCACCGTCATATCGCAAACACCGTCAATTTATAATATCACTAATTATTTATTGTAATTCAAATTTGTGAGATAAACGAATAATTGACAATTTAACGCGTAACAAATCTCATACCCCAATCATAAAATTACATGTCAAATTGTCAAGGATTTGTATAATTTAAAATTTTACGTGACTAGTAAAAGCTTAAACAGCCGAAATTTAAAGTCGGGAAGTGACATACAACCACCTAATTTACTTACATGTAAATAATTCATGCAATAATCGACTTTAACACCATGTTTTAAGATATAATATAAATTATTTAACAGCAAAGTTGTACTGGCAGTGTATTATAAAGCTATACAAACTGTGTTGGTCTGTTTGTTATGTTATTTTGTACGCTTTGAACATCCGCGTCGGACTATTACCGCAACTTTTTGTTATTACCCAAATGTTACCATGTACGACAAACTATTTAGGATAATTTGAACACCTAACTTGATATTATAAGCAAATTATTGCATAGATATCAAATTAACTAGTAAGGATAAACTTAAAAGCTTTGATTTGAAGTCTTTTTTCTTTTTTTGTCGAAGTGACCGCTACATACATCCACGACATCCACCTTTGCCGATGCTTTAACCCTGAACTTCTGAGACCAAACTTTCCGTTTAAAACATCTTGTTATCTTTGTTTTGTCGAAATAATAGATTATATAATAGATTTATAAAGATATTTTGATTTCAGAAACCAAAGGTAAATCATTTATTTTATAAATAAGTAAGTAATAATAAGAAATAGTTTTAGAAATAATTATAATATTTAAGTTTAAATTGTTATCTTATAAAAATAATCAATGGATTGCAAGTATTTTTCTTTTAAATATTACCAGTTTCCTTATTGTTATTACAATGTCTTAATTTTGAATGTTGATCGTATAATAATGGTGGGAAAATTTATTCACGTTCATTTTAATTTCGGTTTAAATAAACGTCTTATAAATTATAACTACTATCATAATTATCAGAAATATTCACAAAGTTATTATTTTTATTTAATACTTTTTATACTATAATACTTATAAATAGAACTTATTTCGGTTGAAGTACTTTGAGTTTTTTCTTGTATTCTCGAAATCACTAGAATCTTAGTCCACTAAACAAAAACTATGGTCACCCTATGAAACACGTGAGTCGTTTGCAAAATTCGCTTCGAATTTGTCCGTGTGAACCTGTGTGCTGGGATTCTTCTTGCATTTTTCCACCTTATTGTTGAACTCTTTTTATAAGCATTTAAACGTTTTTTATTTGTAACAAAAAAGTAGACCTGTAATGGTAAATAATTTAATGTATCAATTATATAGTGAAGTTTGATTCAGTCGATTGTAAAAACTTTATGACTTTAAACCAAGATTTTTCCATGAAATAATTATATATCTAATTTGACGCTGAGAATCTTTTAATTGTTATATTTAAGCAGTTCCTCAGTGTAGATTTTTCATCCTTAATCTACACTATGCGACGCCCTTAATGTCCGTTGATCAATGTGTGGCAATACCACTGTTTTTTGTGGTATGGGGACTAAGTTTCGAGTCATGAATGTAAACAATTTAGAATCCTCTTGGCATAAACATTACCTGTCAAAAGATTGCCAAAAGAAAAACGGAGTCACATCGCTCGGGTGATGGCTGCGACATTTGGAACGATGCCCATACATTGATAGCCAATTACATCGCTTAATGCATAGCTTTTAATGTTTTAAATACCAATCCATAGAGATAAGTTGTATGAGACAGTATTAAGTTATGTTAACTAAATTAAAGTTAACGTTTTTCAAGTCATGGTACTATACTCAAATAAATCGAATGATGCAGTCTACGCTACGTAGAATAATGAATTATTTTCGAAATTGGTAAATGTCATACCTGTGACAAACCTGTAGCTTAAACTAGCCACACACACGCCCGTAGGATGATGGATCAAAGTTGAAAAATTGGCAGCGAATCTAACAGTATGAATTTGGAAGTTCAAACCCAAAGTTGACCCAAAGTTGACTTTAGCCTCTGAAACGAGATATCGCCATCGCTTTTTTTAAAAACTACATGATTTACCCCATAGTAACATTACATATATACGTGATTTGGCGCTAGTGGGCGGCGTGCGTGTTCCGATTTCGCATTGTTCGCGCTGCGCAGACGCAGGTGTGCCCGAGACTGGCCGGCGCCAATCGCATTCCTGCGGCGGTCACGACGTCGAGGATTCCGAGTGTTAGCTGCAGACAATCCTAAAAGGAATGCCATACAAATGCCAAGATTTGGTCCGATTATTTAAGAAGTAAAAGTATTTATAAATTAATTGTTAAAAAAAATGCTCAGTAGTCGATAGATGTTATGAATGAGTTTTTTTTTATTTATTTAACAATACAATTTTGAATACAAATAAACATATATTTAACGCTAAATAAACCACCGATCCATTGAAATCATTGATCTTTCCAATTCCAGGTCTTATCCTCCATAATAGTTTCTAATATCAATCCATTCAAGTCTCCTCTTGTTTATCTAATTTAATATTAATATTGTTAAAATCATTTTGATCGAATGATTTTTATTTTTAATATACTAGTAGCGCCATCTATTGCCATCTACCCTTTATGAAATCAAAGCTATTCGACACTAGATGTCAGTAAAATATCAGCCTAGTTTGATTCAGTTTCAGTAAAATAATCTTTACGAGGAAAATTTATTTTATATAAAGTTCTATTTGTTAGGAATTATTGTTTAATTAAGCTACAACAAAATATTCTTGAAAAAATTAAAACTGATAGATTTTACTTATGGGTATTATAGAACAGGCAACACAGATAACGCATGGATTTTGTTCGCGAAGTTCATCTCCCGGCATTGTCGGAATTTGAATTACGAATGTTCTAGACTGTGCGAAAGGAGTTTCTTGAAGAGCGATTCATTTTCAAATTTGTCGTTACACCGTTGTTTATCTAGAACGAGAAAATAATGGCAAACGCTATGAAAACCCTCATTCCTCTGCTCGATAGAGTTTTAATTAAAAGAGCTGAAGCTATAACCAGAACTGCCGGAGGAATCGTTATTCCAGAAAAGGCCCAATCCAAAGTTCTTCACGGTGAAGTTATTGCAGTCGGTCCTGGTGCAAGAAAGGAAAATGGCGAGTTTATTCCCGTACTAGTGAAGGTTGGCGATAAAGTTCTTCTTCCTGAATACGGCGGTACCAAAGTCTCCCTCGATAATGATGAGAAGGAGTATCACCTCTTCAGGGAATCGGATATTTTAGCCAAGATTCAGAATTAATTTAAGTGCTAGTTTTAGTTTTGCGGGTTTCGAATTGGTTCAGACTTTAGATGTAGTCCTGTATGTCAATGTGATTGTGTAATTGCCACTGCTGTGGGGTATAATGTTATGTTATTTCCATTTATTATAATATTGTTATAACAATTGTCTATTATTTTCTGGTCCTGACAAAATATCTTTGATTTATCAAAGTGAACATAACCTAAAACTGCTATGTACTTTGTTACGTAAAATACACTTTTTGCAATTGCAATTCTGACAAAAAAGAATAAGATATTTTTTTAAATTTACATACACAACAAAAACTTACTCAATTTGCATGATTTATTAATTACATATACTTAGATGTCTTGGATTCACTTAGAAGATGGATGGCGACACATTAGTATGGTAATTTATGTTTGCCAAAAGTTGGGACTCGGCATTTACATATTTATCATTTTAAAACAATTTATTAAGTTAATACATATTCTCAACAACATGAAACTGATGTACATATCATTCATTACTCTATAAAAGATATATTTTCTGATAGACAGTTGATGCAGCCACAAATCTACACCTAAAGAACACAGTGACCTGGACATAGACTAATCCAAGTTGCTGAAGCAAAAACTGCACTAATCAACAGTTGTGTTCCTTTGTTCTTGTTCCATACATTCTGTTACTCTAAATAGTCCTGATGCAATAATTTAGTTCAAAGTAATTTAGCCAGTAATTATAAAAGGTATGATCTGAATTTCATGTGATGTAATAAGTTGAGAAATACAACATAACACTTCTATTGAGTCTATCAACTAATAAAACTGCACAAAATGAAAGAATCACATAATTTTATTAATACTTTTACTCTCACATCGTCTCAACAAGCATCTAATGCACAGATTGTTCAAATGTTTCTTTATCCATAACTTTCAAATTATATGGCAAGCATATTTTCTAACAGAATTATTTAATTGATGAAAGACCAATGAACACACATATACTAGCTGTCGCATCTGACCATGTCCGCATGGAATTAAAAAAAGCTTAATAAGCCTATGTGTTCTTAAGGGTTTTTCTACATTGATGCAAAATTTCAACAAAATCCATACAGCTGTTCAAGGATATACCTTAAAATAAACATCCATAGTAAACATTTGCATTTTTAATATTGATAGCACATACATATCACTGCTTATCTCATATTTATTCTTTTATGTAACAGATCTTTATCACAATCTAGCAATCATATTTGTTTTTATTCTAAACATAACAGTTAACCATATTAAACTGGACTGAAAAATACTTTTATTTTATTTACTATGCATCTTACAATAATACTTGAAACATTTTATATTCAAAAATAATACAATTGAAAAAAACAATCATTTACTTTATGGCAAATTATAGGTACATAATGAATTAATACTGTGTTGAAATACTTTATAACAATATAAAAAATTGCTTGAAAATAAACTATCTTACTCTGTATGAATTGTTTCAAAAATAATATGATTTTTTTTAACTGTCCTGAAAATAATCTCAGTAACTAAACCAACTCTAAATAAGAAAAATGTAAAATATGTCAGTCACAAAACCATAGTTTTTTAACACAATTTAAGTGCTGCAAATTATTTCTTTCTCAATTTTGCTTAACTCATAATTTGTGCAAGAAAATTTACTGTAAAGATATAGCTGTGCGTCGAACAGCCGCAGACAATGCAGGATTAGGATCCGGTGGTTCTGTCAGAAGTTGTACTGTGGTCCAACAACCATCCCCACTTGATTTTCTTAATGCCTCCATAGTGGCTTGCACTCTCTGTCCATCTTCAAATGTAGCTGCTGCTCTCACTGGCTCCTTAATCCAATCCATTTGCTCTTTCACAGGAAGGAATGCCTCTTTAAGTGCACTAATCATTTTACACAAACCTTTTATGTATGGTTTTGGAATAATACTGGATGTACAACTCAAGTCTTCAACATCAACATATATCACATCTTCTTTGTCATGTGCCCGCTTATTTTCTTCTTCTGGAATGTTCTTATTAACTTTATGCAATTTGCCATGTAAATCACCACCTCTTACAACTAAATAACCCTTTTTACTGCAAACATATATTTCTTGGTTAAAACATGGGCCAGGTAAATGATTGTTCAGTGTTGCTGTCACTAACAATCCTTTATCCATTTGCAACTGGAATGTACAAAAGTCTGGAGCTGTAATTTTTCTTATACCATTAACTTTAGCAGTTTCTTCTACAAATGTCCTTAGGACACCATGTACTTTGACAACTTTCTGTCCTGTTAAAAATGTCACCAGATCAATGACATGGCTTCCAACAAGTGTCAAAGTTCCTCCGCCCATTGTGTCGTCACATAACCAGTTGTAAGTGTTTCCAAGTAAAGAGCCCATTTGAACACGGACGTCAATTAAGGTTAACTCTTCAGGATTGCCCAAATAACCATCTACAATAGACTTTCTCATATAGCTGAAGGCAGGTAAGAATCGTAAAGAATGGTTTATAATTGAAATAAGTGTGGGATAGTATTGTGCGGCTCGCACCATTTTAAGAGCTTCAGCTTGGCACAGCCCTGCAGGCTTGTCACACACAACATGCTTACCAATACCAAGAGCCTTCACTGAGATCTGAGCATGAAGATTTGGCGCACAAACTATAAAAACTAAGTTGACATTTTTCTTCAACAAAACGTCATCAATTTTGTTAGTAAAAAACGGTATTTTTAACTCCTTTGCAGTTGCTTCGGCTTCTTGCAGGGTTGTACCCCATATTGCTTCCACTGAAAATCCTTTTTCTCTTAAGAATGGGACTAATACTTTAGCTACTGATCCAGTTCCAAATACACCTATTCCAGGAAGCATATTGGCTATTTACGTTCAATTTATCATTGGAATGATACTAATAACGGCTTAAAAAGCGTGTTAGAAACTGCATAAGAAGGCTGGTTCGTTAAGTAATATTACAAAACGAGTTAGTTGCTTGAATGTAATCATAACAATATTTGATTAGGAATAATAATTTTTCGACTTTATTTTCATTCGTCGTTCAGTTATTGTCTGACACCTGACACTGACATTGACAGCAACAATGACAAGCGACATTGACAGCACCGGCGTTAAAAAAATTTCATCTTCGTTTTAAAACTAGTGGTACAGACCGCTAAATTTGTCTAACCAGATGGTAATAGCTTATACCGAATAAGTCACAATAAATGATAATCAACAGATAGCTGCACCAACTCACCAGAAAGGACATCCTAGTTTTACTAAACTATAGTCCTATAAAGATCTTATAGGAGGATTTTGACGTTGACAGTAGGCCCCTGCAAAATTTAGGGGCTCTCAGGCTCTCAGTAAGTGAAAATATCCTAACTTTTCCGAAAGTCGGCCATATGGCAACTCGGACCTGAATCACAGAATTTCCATGATAATCCTCAACGTTCATATTTTAATGCACGCATTTATTTTCAAGTAGATTGTGACTTGCTCACCATTTCAATTTTATAAGTAAGACAGGTCTTAAAATGATGTTGTAAATTTATTTCCTCGTAAGATAGTCGTGAATCGCGGTATGTCGCCATTTCATCACTATTATTTTGGAACTTTAACCTGCGGTAACGGAATGGTACAGAGGTGAAGGCACTAATGTAATTGCACTCCTGAAATAAATAAAGCAACATAAATATAATTATTTGGTGATTAGTTATTTTCTATATGGAATCGGTGTAAGTGGGAAAAAGAATAATATTTGTTAAGAAAACAACAGGCACCGCGCCGTAAGTCACATTTGATGGCGCTTAAAACGAAGCTCTTCGTCAGCGGCTAAACTAAACGCCGTGATATTCGCCACCTGGTTGAGATAGGGCTGTCACAATAATTTACAGGAATATTTAATTTGCGTTTTACTAAGCAGTAACCGACATCTATAGTGTCTATTTAAAAGTATGTATTGTCGAAATGTTTTTTTTTCAAATTGTTATAGTGTCAGTACTTAGTTTCCTACATTTAAAAAATATTGAATAGCAGCGTAGTATAGGATAACTGAAATAGGGAATTTAATAATAACATATTACAATATCTAACATTTTTTAACACAAGATCCGAAAAAAAATTCAAAATATTTAGTTTCTGCTATTATAGATTTTTATAACCTATGTTGTAAGTTATTTTTATTAAAAATCCAAATAGTTTACAAGATATTAAATTTTAAGGAAATAGTCTCAACCCTAGACATATCCTATTTGCAGCAATCTCTCCGATACCTCATGGTTGGGAGCCGCCGCAGTTGATCACTTCCACAATTAGGCGCGAGCGAGTTCAAACAAAAGTTTAGCGGGCGGGAAATATATTAAATGTCTGCGTTCATTTAATAATATGGTAATGAGGAGATAACAATAAGAACTAAACTGACTAATATTATATATTATCAAATTATCATCATCAAGCATCTCTATCAGCCGCTATAACAACTTAATTCTCTCCCTTTTTAAGCATAAAATCCATGTTTCTTCGGTCTTGTCTTTCTTTAATTTAACTTTGTAGCCATCTCTATTCAATTTCATTACGTTTTTTTGTGTGATAATCATCTTTACGTATACACTTCGCTAATATTTTGATTCTTAATTTTTTCATCACTGGCGCAACTTTGAAACTTCGTGTAATATACGTAACTTAATTTTACTCGTCACAGAAAGAAAGAAAAGAAAGAAAAGTTTTTATTATTATAGGTAACAGATTAAACCAAGAAACAATAACTAACATAATAAAATTGCACATAACTAAGAAATTAAATTAGACCTAAGTTACCATTTATGGTTAATTTGGATAATTTAGTGATGCCCACACTAGGCAATGCCTGTATCGTGGGCACCGATATTCAGATAGGTATATAATATTCAGTCCACAAAATTACAAAACCCACACTCACGACACTTTAGCATTTAACAATTCAGTTACTCCGGTATACATATAATAAAAACAAAATTTAAGTTAATGAAAAGAAGAAAAACTTAAGTTAAATATATAATATAAATGTGTATGAACGGCTATATAAATTGATAAGAGATAAATATGTTAAAGGATCTAGGATTGTATCTTCAAAAGATTCTCAGTATCATTATAATTTAAAGTTA